CGCTGAAGACATTGTTAACTACACAGAACCTAAACTTGGCTACACACGGGACAGGTAGAAACTACAGTTATTTCTTGATTTGTGACCCTGGACCACAAAACCAGTCATAAGGGTCCATTTTTTTAAATTAAGATGTATACATCACATGAAAGCTGAATAAATAAGCTTTCCATTGATGTATGGTTTGGGACAGTATGGGACAATATTTGGCCGAGATACAACTATTTTAATATCTGGAATCTGAGGGTGCAAAAAAATCAAAATACTGAGAAAATCGCCTTTATAACTGTCCAAATGAAGTCCATAGCAATACATATTACTAATCAAAAATTAAGTTGTAATATATTTACGGTAGGAAATTTACAGAATATCTTCATGGAACATGATCTTTACTTAAAGGGATAGTTCACCTAAAAATGAAAATTTGATGTTTTTCTGCTTACCCCCAGGGCATCCAAGATGTAGGTGACTTTGTTTCTTCAGTAGAACACAAACGAAGATTTTTAACTCAAACCGTTGCAGTCTGTCAGTCATATAATGTAAGTAATGGAATCACGGCTTTGAGAGTCAAAAAAACATACACAAACAAAACCAAATTAAACCCTGCGGCTTGTGACGATTCATTGATGTGTAAAGACACGAAACGATCGGTCTGTGCAAGAAACTGAACAGTATTTATATCGTTTTTTATCTCTGATGCACCGCAATGTCTGAACTGTCCTGAGTGCGTTCATGTCTTCTTCTTCAGCTGGCGCGTGACTCGTCGTCGTCTTCTTGCTTTACGGCAGATCGCAGACTTCTAAGTGCATTACTGTCACCTATCTCTCAAATGGACCATTGACACTCTATCTAGCCATGATTCACTTACATTATATGACTGACAGACTGCAACGTTTGAGTTAAAAATCTTCGTTTGTGTTCTACTGAAGAAACAAAGTCACCTACATCTTGGATGCCCTGGGGGTAAGCAGATAAACATCAAATTGTCATTTTTGGGTGAACAATCCCTTTAATATTCTAATGATTTTTGGCATAAAAGAAAAATCGGTAATTTTGACCCATACAATCAATTTTTGGCTATTGCTACAAATATACCCGTGTGACTTATGACTGGTTTTGTGGTCCAGGGTCACATTTTATGATGGCATACTCGAGGGTAGGTCTGTGATTATTTCTTGTGTTTGTGTTTTTTTTTTAAATATGCCATATTGTTTAGCTATTGCAATGTTGTTGTGGTAGTAGTAGTAGTAGTAGTAGTAGTAGTAGTAGTAGTAGTAGTAGTGTATGAATGCATATACATCATATACATGTAGTAGTAGTAGTAGTAGTAGTAGTAGTAGTAGTAGTAGTAGTAGTAGTAGTAGTAGTAGTAGTAGTAGTAGTAGTAGTAGTAGTAGTAGTAGTAGTAGTAGTAGTAGTAGTAGTAGTAGTAGTAGTAGTAGTAGTAGTAGTAGTAGTAGTAGTAGTAGTAGTAGTAGTGTATGAATGCATATACATAATAATAGCTGAATATTATGGTACGTACATGTGAACCTCTTTGAAATAAAAGGTTTCATGTTCCGCTTTCTAAATAATGTAAAATATATTCAATAACTTACTTGGTGACTTTTCAGAAGGTGTATTTCTTGCTGATGATTTAATTGTATTGCAGTCCTGGTTTCTTGCGCTTTGTGCGAGTGCTGTGTGGAATGTCATCAGATGAGAGGAAAGCCTTCCTCCAATTCACCACAGGCTGCTCGACCCTGCCCCCTGGTGGACTGGCCAACCTCCATCCCCGTCTCACAGTAGTCCGGAAGGTATGAAAGCATACTAAAATCCGTAACGCTAAAACCCAGCCATTAAGAAGAGTTAACACTGTCTCTATACATACCCGCTGTGGTCTTTTCCTCCTCTAGGTTGATGCAACAGATGCCAGCTACCCTTCAGTTAACACGTGTGTGCACTACTTGAAGTTGCCGGAATATTCCTCCGAACAGATCATGAGAGAGCGCCTCCTCGCTGCCACTATGGAGAAGGGCTTCCACCTCAACTGAGCATGCTCTCCCTACATCATTGACCAACTCCCGTACTGGTGAAGCCTGTTGTGTTTTGTTGCAGAAAATAAAGCTGTGCTCTGATGAACTCCTTTCTCCCCAAGCACCTCACATGTACCCAGATAAACAGGAAAAACAGTCCCGTCGCAGCTCCACTAGCTCCTGAATCCGATTAGGATCTCCTCCTCCACTGACTGCTTCACAAGGCCTTCCCAGGTCACTCTACCGCTTTAAGGGCTTGAGCCACTGGCAGCCAGGGTAGTCTCTCCTCACCTACTGAGTTTACGGTCATTACTCCAGGTTCAGTGTAAATTTTGGCATAGATCATCTTTTTCAGACCCAGATACCACCATCTGCAGCGTCAGACGCTGGACACAAGCACGCCTGCTTCTGTAGAGCTAACTATAGAGTGTTTGGGCATTTCCTTAACATGTTTTAAGTTTTACTAGTGCCTGCATTCTTGAAATATTAGGATTTTTTTTTCTTTCATTTGTTTTACTTAATCTGTCTGCATACAATCATGCACATGCTTTTCTTTTTTGCTTCCGTTACTGTGTGTGTATGTTTTCAACTGTTCATCGCCCTGCTAAAGGATCAAAGTCCCTGAGTGCATTTGTGTAATTTTACAAAAAAGCTATAGATACAGAAACACTGGTTCTGTGTGCAAGGCACATTTAAAAAAGAAAAAAAGAAAAAGCAAAAAGCAAGCTGTGCTTTCCCTTGTATTTTCTTTGTATATTATAAACATTATTTAACTCAAGTTGCAGTTTGAAGTAAACAAATATTTTCAAATGTGTATGCTCCAAAAAAATAATCATTAAAATGTTTGCAAAGTATCAACGCTGTCTTGTTTGCTTTTTCCTGCTGATGATGAACTGACAAACACATTTCTGTTCCTGAATGTGATTCACATTTTGTTGCATTTCGTTCTGGGGATTTTCTAGTAGTTCCGTATTTAGGAGGAACTTTGACATCTTTGACAATGCATTGGGATTATTACAGCCAGGTCACATCAAAATTATGTTAAACAATTTTGTAGAAGAATGGAAGATGAACCCTAAGTTTATACTACTGAAAAGCATTTATTTATCATTTGGAACAGAACATTAATGAGATCTCATTTGCATCGGATCAGCTTTCAGCCATCTTGTCCAGGGCCAGTAGAGGTGCCAGTATCCGGTTCTTATTTGTCTCCACAATGTGTCCATTCAGGATCATTTCATCAAGTATAATGTGTACTTTATCTAAATTGAACATGATCTGATTGTGAATTAAGGAATGAGGCCCTCATATAAATACACATGTATCACTGAAGACACCATCATGGTCATTTGGTCAATAATACTTCGTGTAATTACACTTATAAAGGATACATCTAGCTCACTCTGTCAAGAAAGGAAAACACATTATTTAATCATAAATTAACAGAACATTTATATATTTTCTCAGAAAGTTGCAATAATATTTTATCAAAATGTCAGTACTCACCACACGACTGAAATACTTGTCTAACACCTCTACAAAGTTGTGCACAAGCTCATAGATTGAGAGTTCATTCTGTGTGAAAGACAGCAGCCAGAGACCATAAATCAGACTTTAAAAACTACTGGAAAAAATACTGATTCCCAATGATTATGTCAGTAATTTTTCATTTTACCAATAATATAGCTAACCTCATTTTCAGTGATGCCAACAACTATGAATAGTGCTGCGTACTGTCGATAGACCAGTTTGTAGTCCTTATACTCTACAAATGAGCACTGAGGAAGAAGAAATACAAAGACTACGACATCTTGAGTTCAACAGCAGATTTTAATCTTGAAGCTTCGAGTTTGAAGATTTTAAAAAATAAAATAGTAAAATAAAACTCAAACAGACTGAAAGTCTACAATGTTACTTGTATGTGTAAATTATATGTGTAGATGCACAGATATGTTTCATATAGTAATGTTTTGCAGAACATGCACGCTATGTTTCTGTTGTTAATCACTATATCTGCCCGAGAGATCAGTTATATTTGTATGTCTGTTTAGTTATCTATATTCATAATATTTTGCACTGCAAACAATGGCCAGTGATACACGCAGTGTGGTTAACCATTAATTTGGGAAACGTGACTGACCTCTTCCTTCCTCCGCGCGAGGCATCCCCTGACCACATCAGCTTCCAGAGCTGCTCTCTTCCCAAGCTCCACTTGTTCATAATACTTGGATAGGCGAGTCTGCCCCTGTTTGTTGACCATAAGTAGGAACTTGATCATAGTAATTCAGAAGAGTGGCCACCGCTAGAAAGGAGGAGAAATTACGTCATTACGTCAGCAAATATCTGGAAGGGTAAAAAAAAATGGTATATATAAAATATCTTATAAAAAAAATAGTTATTTGTAAACTGATAATTAAAATTATTTTTGGTAACCATAATTTTCACCAAAATACCACAGTTACCACAATTATTGTTACTACTGTAAAATTATTACTGCTAAGTGGATTGTTTGACAGAGCTGGTCATGTGACGTCAACATGGCAGCGTCCATGAGGGGGCGACCTGCTCCATGTAGAAAAATAATGTTAGTTTACACCATTTGAATATTTCTCAGTGGCTGTTATTTATTTTTATTATTTTTATTTTTAAGAGTGTGAAATATTTGAAATTCTGAAAAGGGAAAAAGGTCTGATATTTTTCACTCTGCCTGCCCTACTGTATATATTGCTATTTTTCTGCTATGCCACATTTTTATGTGGAAAAAAATAGAAATTATGTCAATAGTAAATAAAATGATCCCAGTTGTTATTTGTAAACTGATAAATTATATATATTTTTTACGCTAGTGTACATCATCGGAAATCATAGGAAAAATATTTGAAATTAGCAATATAGAGAGCATCTTTAAATTATGAAAAGAAAAAAAAATACCAGTTGAATCTATTTTATATTTTACTTACGTCCGCCCTACTTTATATATGTATACAGTATATCTATTGTTCAAGGCCACATTTTTATATCGTCAGGTACAGAGCCTGTCATTGATCTGGTCGCTGCATAGCGCATGCGCAGTGTCCGTCCGTCAGTTTGTATTCGGATGACTCGAGACAGCGCAGGGTTGGGTGAACGCGTCCCATCATGCAGCGCGCCACAGTCCTACCTCGCTCACCCCCGCAGTAGGAGACTCACATCCAGGGATCGGACTAATGGCGGCCGGCAAATCTGTGCGCTGACACGAAATCCACAACAGCCGCTCAGGTGCCAGCCGATTTCGTGGGGGGCAGGGCGACGTCGCATCTCTGCACGAACGGTGAAGTAGGGAGGGCTGAGGGGAAACAATCGGCGACTTCTAGCAGGACTTTCCTATTTTAAAACATGGATGAACAGCCCGGCGGAGGAGGAGGAGGAGGAGGAGGAATGGCCGCCCAGAGACAGCAGCAGCAGCAGGGCAACAGCAGCATTAATCCCCAGATCGCCAGCGCTGGAGGAGCGCATATGGTTCAGCAACAGCAAGACGAGATGCCCAGGCCCCAGCAGTACACTATCCCGGGGATTTTACACTACATCCAGCACGAATGGGCCCGTTTCGAGATGGAAAGGGCGCATTGGGAAGTGGAGAGGGCCGAACTCCAGGTACAGACCCGTGGGTTTGCTGACACACTAGTTAGAAACCCCAAATCGAGACATTGATCGCCATCAGATCGGTTGCTTTCATTGAAGACATTACGTTGATTTACTAAGCAATTTACTACAGATCTCGTTAGCTTCCTGTCCGCCCCATTTATGCTAAACTTAAACCCTTTCATTATAATAAACGAATCTGTCTGCACTCCAAGTATGCGTGACATGACATTTAGTATGCTTATATTTGAATACAGCGATCTAGTGCGTCGCGTCGCTCCCTCGCTCGTAGTGTGGATGGGCTGAGCTAAGCTAAGATAACATGACATCGCTGTATTAGCGATATTACGACACACTCGGTACGATCGAGTCAGATTATCTTACCCGCGAGCACCGGAGCAGATCTAGTCGTTGTTGCGGATTTATCGTGTCACGAGAAGACATCTGTCAACGAAAGCCTGCAGACTTTGTCAACTATTCTCTTGTTCTGCCATTTTGTTTGGTCAATATGGCGTCCGTATGGGTCGCTTCTTTTATTGATCCATCCTACTAGCGCTCACTTTCACACCCTGCTGTAATGTACAGTATTTTTTATGACACACTATATCCGTTGTTTTAAAACAATAAAAAGTAAATGAAGCCGTGCGTTCACTGAATAGTCCTCACAAAAAGGAGATGCTAGGAAGAATGACAGCGACAGTTACCATTCACGTTCATTGTAAGGAAAAAGGTGCAATGAAAGTGAATGGAGACCGAGACTGCGAGTTGTTAACATTCTGACTAACATCATTTATTTTTAATGTAATAATGTAATACGGTTTGGAATAGTATGAGGGTGAGCAAATGATGACATAATGTTCCATTTTGGACGAACTATCTCTTTAAGAGTGCTGTGAGGAGATAGTCTTTCTAGTTTCGCTCCTCATTTGATTAGCATATTTTTGATTAATCATTCATGTTACTTAGCTGAATGTATTAGCAAATATATCTCAACATCATATTTATTTACTCACCCTGATGTTTTTTCCAAACATGAGTATCTTTATGTGCAACACAAAAACAGAAACGCACAAATACCATTTGACCAGTTTTGTGTATGCAAGTTGTTTTGACAGCCATACCTTTACCAGCTGCAATAACTTAAAGGTCTTAAAGGAATAGTTTACACAAAAATGAAAATTGTCACCCTCATGTCTTTCCAAACCTATATGAATGATGTACTCTCTTCTGTGAGACATAGACATTACAAACAGAAAGCTGCTTAGTTTAAAATGTAATTTCGCGTGAGTTGTTTTATACATCGCAACACTACTGACAATAGACAGCAGAGGTTTTGCCTGCAAAATTTGCTGAAATTTAACTAATTTGATCACACCTTAAGTCATACAGGTTGGGAACGATGTGAGGGTCAGTAAATGATGACAGAAATGTCATTTTTGGGTGAACCATTTTATGTGTTATTTTTGGCTGAACTGTTACCTTAAGTGTGTTATGACAGCTGAATCTCCCTGCCACCCGTATTAATGGGTGTAGCTGTCATATTTGAAAGTCTGCTAGAGCTGAGAGTGGCAGTTTAGCTTTTGTGAATGAGGAAAAGAGCTGGAAGGCCTGGGGCAGCACGTTAAACACAGTCAGTCTTCCCTTAGGAGGCCGAGAAGTTTTCACCACCCCAGCACAGACTTGTTCAGTGACATACTTTCAGGATGACTCCCAGCTCAAACTTAATGGGCACTTTTCATTATTCAGAGGAAGTCAGCTTGTACTCTCCCACACTCATACTAATCCAGGTTTTCTTAGAATAAGGGTTGGTCTTGTTTATCTGCTCCACATTCCATGTTTCAGATTTTCACTTGCCACCTAATCATGAGACGCACACTGAACAACATACCACAAACAAATGAACTCAAAGTGAAACCGTATCAAATCATGTTATTACATGTGAACGTTTTGATTCTCCAGCCTTGTGTGCAGATGTTTGAGTCCATTATCAGGTGCTCTTCCATGCATTTGGCATCTTGTGTATTTGGAGGAGATGTAGCCAATGTTATTGTAATGGATAGTTGTTCAGTTCCGCTTTAACGATGTCTGGCTCTAATTGATGTGAAACTCTTCCTGTCAGTTTGCTGGGCCTCGTAGGCATAGCTGCTAGCAGAGATTTCCTGAGCAGCCACATCAGGAATGGGCCTGATTAGCCTTATCTGGGTTAGCTCAGGGTTTGTAGGTCATGGTAGCACCATCTTCAGAGTCATGGCTCTGCAAACCATTAGAGATTGTCAAGTGCAGGTTTAAAGGAGTCATATGATGCGATTTCAAGTTTTCCTTTCTCTTTGGAGTGTCACCAACATATTACACCAAATACACAAAATAATGATCTTTAAAAAAGCATCATATGACCCCTTTAATATTTGTCACATGTCTATAAATCCATCATCTCCTTCATGTTAACATCTGACAAGTTTTAACTGAAATCAACATGATTGCTAAACAAATCATAGTCAGTCACACTTATTCAGTCACAGGTATTTGATAGCATTTTAGCTTCTATTCAGCAGTTTAATAAAGCAGTGCTATTTTAGTAACATTTATATGCCATTATTATATATTAATATTTTGAATTGCCTTTATATAATTTTTAGCTTTAGTGGTTTTGTTAGCCTACATGTTTTAGTTTATATTATTTTTTTGTTTTTCTATTTATCCTTATTTTTCTTCAGTTTTCGTTGTAGTAAATTTAGTACTTCAGTTTAAACATTTTATTTCCATTAGTTGGCATAATTTCTAACATTTAAGTGTTTAAAATTTTTTTGAATCTAATATATACATTTTATTTAAATTTTATTAGAATGAACAAAAAAGATTTTGGTTACACTTTATTTTAAGGTGTCCTTGTTACAGTGTAATTATACATTTAAGTACTGAGAAATATGAATTAACTGCATGTACTTTTGGTTAGGGTTAGGATTAGGGTTGGGTTTAGGGTTACTTGCATGTAATTTTGCATAATTTATTGTTATTATAATAGTACGTACATGTAACATGTAACAAGATCACCTTAAAATAAAGTGTTACCAAGATTTTTAATAGTTGTACTTTCAATTTTAGTTTGCAATAACAACACTGGAATAAGCAGATAATTAATATCAAATGTCTTCCATTTAGAACAAAAAGTCAATTAGTCTGTATATTTCTTCTAACAAATATTGTCAAATATAGTCACTTTGCTATATAGTGACTATATATATACACTACCATATAGTGCTATATATATACTATATCACTTTGTACTTTGGTCTGAAATTTTGTGAATACAGACAAACAACATAATACAGGCAGTCAAACGTCACATAGCTTAACTCTAACCAGTCAGATGTGATGACCATGAACTCTTGTATAATGGTAAATGTTTTAATCTTTTGCAATTGGCATATTATATTAGTGGCATCCAGTTATAATAAAGGCATTTTCTAACAATATTACGCTTTCTTAAATAGCCTTTCATGCTCTTTACTTATAACTGAAATATGAAGTTCTGTTTTAAATGTGCTATTCGTTTTGTTTTATATGCACATTTTACTTATATAAACATTGTACTATTACATTTCCAGTATATTTCCATTGTGCTATTATTAAACCCAGAGGGTCCCCTCATTCAGCTGTTTTTCTCCCACAGCAGAACAGAGTATTTTTAGTGTCTGTGTTCAGTTCGCACAGCTGAAATGTTGTTCTGCCGATCTTTAAATCTGGTAGGTGACAGAGATTTCCAGCAAGCATCAGAGAGTTGCTTGGGACTGTGAGCAGCCAGCTGTTCCTGACCATATGTGTACTAGCCATCCTCACACTCTGCTGACACTAGCAATGCTGTTTTAATTAGGGATGCACCAATACCACTTTTTCCAGTACTCGCCCGATACCGATACTTTTATTTTTGGTACTTGCCGATACCGATATTTTTATTGCATTTGTATATTTTTTAAATATTGGGTACAGAAACCAAAAGAGTATGTATAATGTTAGTTGGTTAACTTAATTTATCAAATAATCGTAAAAATAAGACCATTTATAGGGGGAGAGAGAGAGCGCGCGCAATTCTGTTGTGTGGTCTTTGATGTTCAATTTGTTGTGTGATCTTTGATGCACTCTCTCTCTCTCCCCCTCTCTCTCCCTCACTCTCTCTCTCTCTCTCT